ACCACATTATCGCTATATTTGAGGCTTACGATGGAGAATTTAATAAAAATAAAGAATTGCATTAGAATTGTTATAAATTTTAATATTTATAAATAATTTAAAAAATGAAAGTAATTTATTGTATAGATTAAATTATTTGTATGTAATTGAAAAAAAAAATCAAATTAGTTTTATTCCTCCACAACCTCATCCACATGCTTATCCTGCACCAAGCCAATAAATTAATTCGCAAGATGCTGCGCTCTGCTGCTCATAAAATTCCCCTCACCATTTCTTTAATCAACCAGTAACTGTAAGTGGCATTAATCGCCATTAAAGACGCGCAGTCGCCAACAACACTCTGCTTTGAGCTTTCCATTTCCTCGAGCATTTTGATTTTGGATTCTTCTTCTTGGCGAAAGGAAAAAAGATCTGCATCATTGTTGAGGAAGATCTAAACGGTTTGGCTACTTTCCTTTTGGCGCTCACTCGCGCAGTCTTCCGCTTCGGTTTGCACTCGAAAATGCTTCAACGGCTGATACTGCTCGTTTTCCTCCTCCTGCAATGTGTTTTTGGAGAGGAAACGTGCTCGGGAATCGTGCCGATGAAGATGCGGGCGGAGACGATATCGATTGTGGATTTTGGAGGAGTTGGAGACGGGCGGACGCTGAATACAAAGGCGTTCAAAGAGGCGATCTATCGGATCGAGCACTTGAATCGTCCCGGCGGTACGCTTCTCTACGTTCCTGCCGGAGTCTGGCTCACTGGAGCGTTTAATCTCACCAGCTACATGACGCTTTTTCTCGCCAAGGGCGCGGTCATCAGGGCCACACAGGTAATGGATTCTGAAACGGCGATGTAGTGCTCAAGGTATAACCAAGAAAATACAGGTGTTTGCTTATCCATTCGACGGTTGCGCTGGAAGATTTTTTTTTTTAGTTCGTAAGTGGGCATCATAGCATTTTCCTCTATTTGGTTGCATGTAGGTATAGGGTTGGCATACAACAGCGGGTTGGCTTATCACACTCAATATATCTCTACTGTGCTGTTCAGCTACAAATAGGATTTAGTAAATGCGGTAAATCAAGATTTAGTGAAACTTCAGAGGATTAAAATCTGAAAATTCTTTGGCATGATAACATGTATATCTTGCTAAATTCTTGTTTTGGAATTTAACATTTAATAGGGGATAAATTTTTTAATCCGTTAAATTCTGTGAATGATTGGATTTAATCAATACTGGATTTGAAATTAGATTTATCAGAATAGCAGAATTTAAAACTATTTTTGTTAGGATTTAAACTAATTTTTGCTTGAATGCTGTCTAAAGTAGGATGCCAAACAGCCCATATATGTCTCTTGTTGCACGATAATATCTGTTATATGCCACACGTCTGAAGATTTATTCCCCAGATTTTGCATTAGCAGATTTGTTGGATGTGATTAAACTTTAATCTTATATTTAAAACTCTAAAATTATTTTAAAAATCTTTAAAAAAATTATGTTTTTATTTTCACGGATAAAATTGTAAAAAGTTAAAATACTTATTTTTAAAAATCTAACCAAAACATATCATTTGCAAAGTTTATTAATAGATTGGAAGAAATAAAAAATCGTTATGAATCTGAGTCTAAATTTTGCCGGTAGAAGCTTTTAGGAGTTTTCTCATGTGTTCTTTGACCTTCGCATTTATGGTACTTTTGGTGTAGGATGCAGAGAGCTGGCCTTTGATTGATCCTTTGCCATCTTATGGGAGAGGCCGCGA